GGGGGGGGTGGGGGGATGGGTTAGCCTGGTGATGGGTATTAAAGAGGGCACGTTCTGCGTGGAGCACTGGGTGTTATGCACAAACAATGAATCATGGAAGACGACATCAAAAACTAATGATGTAATGTATGGTGACTAACATAATAAAATAAAATTAATTTAAAAAAGAAGAAAGAAAAACAAGCCAGTCTGAGAGGCTGTCACAGACAGGAGGTGCCTAGGAGACAGGACAACGAAGTGCTACGTGGGATCCTGGGGCAGAAAAAGGACATGAGGTAAAAACTAAGGGAATCTGCAAAAATATGGACTTCAGCTAATAATAATGTATCAATATTGGCTCATTAATGATAAGAAATGAACCACACAAACAATAGGAAACACAGGGTAGGTATGGTTTAGACACAGTAACACAGGGGAGACAGGGTGTAGACACCGGCCCCCTCCGGTCTACCTGCTCCATGTTTCCATAAATCTGAAACTAGTCTAGAAAATAAACGCTAATTTTAAGAATATAAACTCGGGGCGCCTGGGTGGCTCAGTCGGTTAAGCGTCTGCCTTCGGCTCAGGTCATGATCTCAGGGTCCTGGGATCGAGCCCTGCATCCGGCTCCCTGCTCCCCCTGCTTATGTTCTCCCTCTCTCTCTTAAAAATAAATAAATAAATAAATAAAATCTTTTTTTAAAAGTGCCTTTTTTAAAAATAAAAAAATAATAAAAATCTAAACCCAAATGGTCCCCTCGGCTCCCCGCTTCGAGGGGCCACTGAAGGTTTCAGGGCGCTTAGCAACCGGAAGCCCCATGCAGGGAGCCAAGCCCATGGCGGCCTGGGGTTCGCGCCCTGAGCGCTGCACTGTCCCCTGGGCAGGGGCGTGGGCGCGCCGGGCGGGCTGTCGGGACGCAGCGCACGGCCCGCGGGCGGCCGCCGCCGGGTCCAGGAGGGGCCGCAGGCGTCCCCCCCGCACAAACGCACACCCCGCGGGAGGCGGGGCATCCGAGGGGCCGGCAGGCCGAGGTCCAGAGCGCCCGCCCTGCGGGGCTCCCCTGCCGCCCCGACCCCCGGCGGCCGCCCGGGCCGGGCCACGGCGGGAGCCACCGAGGACCTCCGCACAGGGGCGCGGGGCGCGCTCCCGGGAAGCCAGGGAGGCCCCGGACTCCTGTCCCACAGGCGCGCTCACGGCGCGGCGCGGCGCGCTCCGGGCTCCGGGGGCCGGCTGCTGCGCGCGCTCCTCGGTCCTCGCGCGCCCCCTGGTGCCTGGTCGCCGCCCCGCAGGCGGCGCGGGCCGGTTCGGAGCGTGGTGCACAGCGCCCCCGCGTGGACACGTGCCGCCTCCGCCCGCCCGGAGGTCCGCGGCCCGCGTGGAGGGCCCCCCCCCCGGGGCTGACCGCGCGCTGACCGCTCCGACCCAGCAACAGCCAGGGAGCGGGAGCACTGGCCGGGCCGTTCTGCACTCGCGGGAACTGAGGCTTGAGAGGTTCTGACTCTTTCCGGACGTGGCAGTTCGCGCCCCGGCCCGGTCCCTCCGAGGTAACCCAGGGCCACTGCCCGGGCGCGCGGGCTGGAAAGCTCAGCATCACCGCCCGCCCTCACCCTCCCTGGGGCTGGAGGCATACGGGCGCCCCTGGAGACCCTGCAACCGCGGCACGCTGGGGTCAGGGGCAGGGACCCCACATGCGCAAGGCTCGCGACCCGCTCCGACCCTGACGTCTGGTTCCAGGTACCGGCGGGCGGCGCGCTGCCCTGGGAGGAGCCTGCGGGCCAGTCGCACACATGCGCAAGACCCGATGGGGCGGGAGGGGGGGGGACGCGCCGGTTCGGACCCCGCGGCAGGTGGGGCGCACTCACCGACCCTTAGGGAGGGAGGCGCAGTGGGACTTACCTCCCCAGGAGGTGCTCGCACTGGAACCGACCCCTCCAGAAGTGGGGCGTGCCCGGAGCCGACCCCTCAAGAAAGTTGGCGCGCCTGGATCGAGCCTGTGGGGGGCGGGTAGGGAGCGGGGGGGGGGGGGGGGCGGGAGCCTGCGCACTCCCTCCGCACTCGGACCCGGAGCCTGCGCACAGAGCTCGGCGGTCTGGCTGGGGCGCACAAGTGTGCGCCGGCCCCGGAGGCGCCGACGGAAATTGCAGGTGGGAAGGGTGGGGGCGGACCCAGGGCGTCCCTCCCAGCACTGATGGTTCTAAATTCCAATGTAGTCCTCCAGGTCCTAGCGGGTGGTATTTGTCAAGATAAGAGGACGGCATTCATCGTAACGTTTCTTTCACTTGATTTAGGACTTCCGTTTGCGCACAGGGTTAGAGGTTTGCTCCCAAAGTGCCGGCCGGCTCCCCAGGCTGCCCCCGGGGCCTTGCCCGTCCGGGACCCAGGAGCTCCCGCCCGAGGCGGGACGGGGCTTGCCCTGAGCCGAGGGGCTCCCTCTGACCACACGCGCTAGGGCAGCCGTTTGCCAGGACTTAGCCTCAGCGAGGCTCTGGTCCCCCATCCCTGCCCTGAGCATAACACTTGCTAAGGAGGAGGACCGCTCACTGTGTCCAGGAGGGGCAGGGATGGAGCCTGATTTGAACCCTGGCTCAACCATTCTCTAGTCACCGACTTCGGCAAATTTCTGAACCTGTTTCCCCACGGCAAAAAACAGTACCTATGATACCCGTTGTGCTGGGTCCTCAGCAGTTTCTCAATGGTACGGGCTGTGCGTCCAGCAGCGCCTGGCCTTCCAGGAGGGCAGCTCCTGTGATAATCAGTTCTCCCTCCTGATGGAAGCGGGGGAAGCTAGTCCTTTCCCCGACCTCCTGAACCAGCTCTGGACGCGTTCGGACCGTCCCTGGCCCGCGCGCAGGCCAGCCCTCCGCCCTGCCCAGCGCCCTCCGGCCCCCCAACCCAGGGAGGACGGGGCCTATTCAGTGTCTCCGCAAGCTGAAGCTGGACTCTGGAACCAGGTTTGTTTCCCATAGCTCGTGCGTGCGTGTGTGTTGTTACTAGAACGTTGGAAATGCTGCACGGTCCCAAACTTTCTATTTCACTTCTTGGTTGGTGCACCTTCTCTCGATGCTCCACCTTCAGTGTGTGATGAGGGAGGAGGAGGAGGAGGGGGGTGCCCTTCTTTACCCCGTCAGGCTCACCATACGTGGCTGGCTAGCACAGAGGTGACAAGTCAGAAGGGACAGAGTTCCTTGGTCGTCTATTTCTTAGACCGCTGTTGCCTTCTTTCTGTGCACAAAGCAAGTGCTGGTTTGAACGGAAAGCAGGGTTGCTTGGGGCAGCGTGCATATCCCAGGTCCACCTGGTACCACGGGACCTGGACCGTTCTTTCACCTGTTTCCCCGTCTGCAAACCGGGGTTGACAATGCCCACCGGTTGGGGCCGGTATGAGAACTCAGTGGTTGACCGCCTCAGTAATTTAGGGCAATAGCTGACACTTTCACACCAGGTAAGAGTTCGCTGTTGTTCACGGAACCATTAACGCAGGAATTCACACGGAGGACAGTGCGACCTCGTTGGGGGTGATGGGGACGTTTCTCCAGTGAACAGTTTTGATCAAGTTCAGAGAGAAGGTTCCTTAGCAGGGCAGTGGGTACACTAAGTGGCTCTTGAACAGCATCTCCAGGACAGGGCAGGCAGTCAAGGGTTGATCCCCAGCCCTGTCACTGCTCAGACCGCCGCTCTGAAGCAGGGCAGTCCGCGTGGGCCTGGCACAGCCCTGCACTCAGAAGGGCCCACGCTAGCTTCATGCTCTATCGCCCGGAAGTTCTTTCTGATTTTACCTTTGCACTTGTGTTTTGTATGTGAAGTGTAATGGGATAATGGAGCGTGCCCGTGAGAAGAGACACATGTGATGCTATGCAGGTCCACCTGTTTTCCCCGCCACCCACCCACACACAGCATGCCTGATGCCCGTGAGCCCAGGATCCCAGCGGCCCTAGCGCAGGAGGTCAGCAGGACTCAGAGCAAGTACAGAGCTTGTGACTCCTATTACGGAGTAGCGGGAAGCACGCTGCCCCAATCAAGAAGTGAAATAGAAAGTTTGGTACCGTGCAGCATTTCCAATGTTCTAGTAACAACACACACACACATGCACGAGCTATGGGAAACAAACCATGATGTCAGGTATATGCCACATACATGTCAAATGCTCCTGCATTTGCATTTAAAAGCACCGTCGCATGATATAAAGAAAAATGGATTCGTGCTAATAATTTTAACTTTACTTAGAACGTTAAATTGCAAATTTTAAAAACTAAAAACTAAAAAAGCTTTATATTTTAGCACCTCTAAGGGCACTTTTTTCCTGCTTTTTATTTTAGATTTATTTTTTAAGATTTTATTTATTTGAGAGAGAGAGAGCGAGCACAAGCAGGGGGAGGGGCAGAGGAAGAAGCCGACTCTCTGCTGAGCCCTGCCACAGGGGGAGGGGCTCAATCCCAGGACCCTGAGATCATGACCTGAGCTGAAGGCAGCCACTTAACCAACTGAGCTACCCAGGCGCCCCTTTCCTGCTTTTTGAACGAGGGGCCCAAGTTTTCATTCTGCAGGGGGCTCTGGGAATTACGCAGCTGGCCCAGTGCTCAGGCCCCACCCAAGTGATGCAGCGGGCTCCTTCCCAGGGGCAGGACTCAATGCTGTTGAGTAAGAGAATTCTTACTCAACAGCAATGTGCTCTCTTGGGAATGGAGGGCCAAGTTGTGTGGCACAGAGGCTGACCTGGAAACCCCAGCACTGTGCCCAAGGGCAACCACCTCCAGCTCTCCTTCAGGAGGGAGGGGCTCTTTGAGGATATGCAACCTCCTTCCCTGTTTCATTATGTCATGGTCCTTTTTGTAAAACACAACACACAGAATAGTATAAAACAGTAAAATTAACTCCTGTAAAAATGCCACGCGTCCCTTCTTCCTGGACAGATGTCCACATCCAGGTCCAAGGCCTTGTTGAGAGGCTAGACTGTTGTCTGAGGGGAACACATGCTCCCAGAGGAACCCTTACCAGGACCACAAGGCAGGCGTCCCCCTGGTGACCACCGGAAAAGGCAGGCTCTCCCTGTAGGAGTTCCTGTGAGAGACTTGTAACTTCCTCAGATAAAATTCGGCATTTCAAGGAAAGATTAAATAATATGATCTACAAATGATAACCATTTAGATAAAGCTGCGGGGGTATAGAAGCCTTTTACGGTCACAATTTGCTGAGTCCTGACAATTTTTAAAGAGCCACAATCCTCCTAAAATGGATGTAAAACTGCACTGTCATTTCAGAAGCCAGACTTCTGCAAGGAGACTCGCTGGCATGGCTTCCCGTGATGTGTGGCCTGCTGAAAGCACAGCCTCGGGGCTGGGATCAAGGTCCTGGTTCAAATTCTAGCTCCTGGCCCTGGAAGACTGCAGCAACGTCAACACACAGGAGTCCTCCCACAGAGGATGCTCAGCCCGAGATGAGGCGCTGAGCCTCACCCCCAGCGCACAGGCGTCCCCGGTCACCCTCCTGGTTGGGTGCCTCCCTGTCCCCGAGGGCAACTGAAGTCCTATCCTTTGAATCTGAACACCTGTAGGTGGCAGAGCTCCAGGGCAGGGATCCAGTAATGAAACCTTGTCTTTGGAACTACCCATTCCAGTGAGTGGCGCGTCGCTAAGTTATTTCAACTTCTGTCCATTCCCAGAACCCAACATCTGAAACAGGTATAAAAAAATGAATTTATCTGCAAAGAACCAAATTACTTTTCCTTAGGGGGAAAAAAAAAGTTTGGATTTTGGTAACAAGTACCAATTGTCAAATTTAAGAAAACGGATTTTAATTAAAAATTAAATCAGAAATCATGTTTCATATTTCAATCTTAAGCTTTTAACTTCTCCTCTGACCACAGGACAGGTCAGTCTGTATGATGCTTTTCAGGGAGACAAGGGATGATGACCTAAGTCAGGCGCTTCAAATGTACCGCAATTGTTTTACTGATCAATTAAGACTTTTCATGACTACAATGTAGTTTTAAGTTATCAAAATGAAATTTTTCTATTTATAAAAACATGCTACTTTTAAAAACCAGTCTCAAATAAAAAATATAGATAAAAAAATCCATCTCAATTTCCCAACTCAATTAGATTTATTGAAAATGGAAAACCACTGTTTTCATCCTTCTTGAGCAAGTCAGCCATCAGTCAAGATGGATGGGGCCTTGGGTTCCTGACTCCACAAGGCTCAGCTGTCCCACATGACACGAAAACGTCTAAGCTGCCACGTGGGCAGAGCCAACCCTCCGTCCTGTTCTCTTCACAAGGCACATTTACATTATTATAGCAACTTTCAACACATTTGCCTACTAGGCCTCCTTCAAGTCAGTCCTCAGACTTAAGAGTCGCTTGGTGCAGCGGGGAGGAAGGATTACCCAGCAGAAGGGCAGCTCCAGTGAGAGCAGCCAGCATTCCTCCCAGGCACATAAAGGCAATTTAATTGCACACCCTCACTGGGGAGGCCTCATGGCAGCAGTGGGCTTCAGAAGCCTTGAGGAGACACACAATCCTGGAGGGGGACCCCAGCTCCAACCCTACGGCTACGCCCTTGAGCAAGTTTGGACCTTCCTGCATTCCTCCCTGCACAGAATTCCCAACTCCTCTCATTGTTTTTCTTCCCCCATTTTTGGTTATGAAACAAAATCAAGAATTTAAAAACTGGGGGGGGGTCCCTTCCTGCAGGCTTATCTTCCCAGGTGGATACCAAGTCCCTAAGAACGCTTCCCTTGAAAGGAAGTTACCTCCAGCCTGGACAGACAAGAGGAGTTACCTGCCCTTCCTCCAGGCCTTTCTGGACATGCAATCCTGAGGATGGGCCTAACAGGCCAGCCACACCAGCTACCCCTTGCACCCTGCAGATTTAACCACCTGCCACAGCCCCTGTGATGAGTTCCATTTTATAAGGAAACTCAAGCACAGGGAGGCAGCTTAACAGGTAGGGCTGGGATGTGCAGAGGACCCTGCTACCCAGACGCACAGCCCTA